TAAGCTACGTCTATCCCCCATTATTCGTCCACAATATCTAACTTACAAAATTTAGAAGGTTCCGCATACTCTTTAAGACGTAACTGTAAATACTTTGACATTGAATGTTAAACACTCCATAAGTGAAGCTGCAATCCATACCCGATTTATTTTGGCCGATGCAATATTTGACTGCAGCCTACTTATTTTTGAACATAACTAACATATGAATGCAAAGAAAGAAAAACAACAACAGCGTGAACTGCTTTTCTTGTAGGTTAGTGCACCAAAATATATACAAACATATATACATATGTAATGATTGTCTCTCCTCTAATTACCTGCTTCGTAAAGCTAATGTCTTAGTATTTACTGTTGACAAACAAACAGACCGTAACGTACCTTCACAGAACTTATGGCAGAAACAGTCACCGACGCAAAACCGTGAACCGAATCAGCTGATACGACCTATCTTATGAGAGCGCAATGTAAATGAACAGTCACCACCGCTTCTACCATCCGCTTCAACAGACCGTAGGGTAGGATATCCGCGAAGATTGGATTTTTTCCGTAGAAACGAATGAGCTGAGAGTGAGAGAGCAATCCCTTGCAATGCAGGGTTACCAATCTCGATATTTTGTAGTAATTAAAAAATGAACTAGAATATATTTGAAATATTCTTAAAATAATTCAAAATCACAGTCGAATACACTTATTTAAAAATATGAAAACTATTTTTAATAGTTGAAATTTTAGTTTTAAGCTTTTACATTATGAAAACTATAACTAAAAAACTAAACGTGTGAAAAATCATGTATATAATAGAACAATGGCAACATTAGTGAAATGAAAATAAAAGAGAACAACTGATTTCTGCGTTACATAATTTTTGACAAATTTGGTTTGATACGGGCGGTAAGCACGGAAGGGAGGAATGGCGGTGACTGTTTGTGCTATTAAATATGTACATAAAGCATACAGACTTAAGTACTTATGCATGTATATACATATGTATGTTTGGCTGTGTAACAACGGCGGTGAGTAATTATTTCCAGTCGACCAGACAACACGACTAACAACGACCTTTCCAGCTGATTGCCGTTCTGTCGGCCCGTTATGTTGCTGCCGCCTTTGCGTGTTGCGAAAAATGTATACCGCACTTCTTACCTATGCAAGTACTTACAAACATTTTTATATATAATACATATGTACATATTCCTTCGATTTGTAGCAGTTGGGTTTTTTGTGCAACAGGCGTTAAATTTCCAAATAAAAATACATTTTTGTAAGCGGTTGTAAAGTATATATTTATACAGGTATGCGTTGTCGTGAGCACCATTACTGGAGCGGCATGCTGAGTGGGTATCCATATGGTGTAGCGACTTCCTGTAGTTAACAACGCATGCACAAATTATATGCATATGTATGTTATGTCCATTAGTATGTACAAACGGCCATAAAACTATGTTTGTTTGTGGATTTCGAAGCACAATGAATTGAAACATTCTTATCCACCAAATTATTTCCAGCAAAACGTTATTTTGAAGTCGATTTGACTTTTAAAAGTTATCATAGCTCATTTAAGTGCGGAAATATATAAAACAGCTTTTTGAATATCTGTCTTCGTGTGTCTGAATTATACCGGATAAGGGCAATAAAATGAATAAAAAGTAATTTCACTAATATTTGTGTATATGTACAATATGTACATGCTACTTATACTTGATGAGTAATGCGTACTTAATAAAGTCTAACGGATTTTTCTGTAAGATCGACGGTTTTCAAACTGAATACCTTTTAATAAGTCAAAAATTTTTTCAAACATTATTGTTTGCAATAAATGTTTTATTACATACATATAAAGTTTCCCATAAATAAAACCTCGGTGATCCTATTTGATATAGATTACACTAGTAAACAAAATTAAACTTGGTTTTTGTTTTATGAAGTTTATAAACTGTTTTTGACGTCACTGATCTCAAATTTACCCTCAGTTTCTTTCTAGTAGCTCTAGTTTTAGTGAAACAGGTACTTATTGAAATATCCTTACTCGGCTTGCTTGAATTAATTTTCAGGGCAAATAATTACTAAATTGCATAAATAAATCGCTATTTCTACATTAAAAAGGACTTGTTTAAACGATTCGAATAGTTATTGTGCTGTTTTTGTGGTGACTATATGCTTAGAGAATGCCGTTTAAATATGTATTCCTCTATAAAAAAGGGCTATTTGAATGTAATGAATTCCAATTATATAATATTATCCCCTATTCATATATGTTAAAGTTAGGTCTGATAAAACAGTTTGTAAAAGCTCTGAATAAGGATGGGAAATGTTTTAAATATATAAGTGAAATATTTCCGAAAATGAGCACAAAAAATTTACGCTGGTATTTTTGACGGTCCTTAACTCAGGGATTTAATAAAGTACCAACATTTTACTGATTGTATGATAGATAAGAAGAAATCTGCATGGATTGAATTTATATAGGTTGTGCAAAATTTTTTAAATATAAAAAGTCTCCAGACTACATTCATTGCATTGGGCAGCTAATGTTGCACTTCCAGATACTTGGATCTAACATGAGCAACAAGATGCACTTCCTCTTCAGCCATTTAGACCGCTTCCCTGAAAATTTAGACGACTTAAGCGAAGAAAAAGGAGAACGCTTTCATCAGGATATTCACACTATGGAAGAGCGATACCAGGGTCATTGGAATGCAAATAGGATGGCTGATTACTACTGGATCATTCAAAAAGGGACTGATGTTTCTACTCATGCAAGAAGTTTTTTTCATGTTAAGTAAGGCAATATAATTTTCAATTCTAAATTTTTTTTGTTATTTTTGGATTAAAATGTAATATGTTCATATTCATATTACGAAAAATCGAACTGCTGGAGAAAAACAGATTACAGATTTGGATACAGCGTGGCAAAATCCTACAAAATCGGCTAAGAAACTTCATAAAACAAAACTACTCTTTTCCAGTGTTATTATCTAAGATTATTGTACAATCTCCGAATATATGGTCTAGATTGGATCACTATAGCCTATAGCTCTCATACAAACTGACCGATTAAAATCAAGATAAAGAATTTGTTAAAAGAAATGCGCCTGTGAATGGTATTATGTTATGCTTCGATGCAGCCGAAGTTAACTTTTTCTTGTATTAATTACAACAAGTAAGGAAGGGCTAAATTTGGGTGGAATCGAATATTTTATGCTATTTCAACTTGTTAGAATCAACTCCCTTCATGTGCTGGCAAAACTGGATATTAAACAAGTAAGAAAGGGCTAATTTTGGGTGTAACCGAACATTTTATGATCTTGAAACTTGCAAAAATCAAAGACCAAGAAATTCCTTCATTTGAAAAAATTTTACGAAAAAATTAAACACCTATTATTCGATGAAATCGTGAATAAATTACAATCAAGTTTGGTATTTTCTTGACTTATATTGAAGGCCATAAAATTAAACTTAGTTTTATTGCTAAAATTATATTAAAAACATCTTCAAATTAGATATACTTGTATGTATGTGATGTCAACTCGACCGAAGAGGCTAAATATAATATATTGAGTTGATGTGGAAAACGTCAACCAGAGGATCGGAATTCATTATATTAGAGATATGAGACATAGACCAGGTATACTCGAGAACATATTTTGAAGCAATTTGATATATAGATAATGCTCACTGACCGACATATTCGACATAAACTTATTAGAATAACGAAAATCATCATAAGTAGTATATGGGAGTTGGGGGTAGTATTAACCTGATTCTTAAATTTTTGCTAATACCACATACCTCAATCCTATTATTAGTTATATGGGGGCTAGGTCAAGTTTTCACAAAAACACAATGTTATTAGAAAAATACGCTCTCTGATTGAGAGCGGTATAAAGTCATCCGGAAGTTCGAAAATCTTTATATTAGGTTTATGGGGGCTAAGGGAAGTATTGACCCGATTCCATCCAGTTTTGATATACAGACATAATATTATCAGGAAAGGGTACTCTTCTCCTTTGAATTACATATCTCTCACATTGACCGATATTTCCGGCCAAAAGTCAGCCTTAGCCTCTAGAGTCCACATCTGGAGTCCACGGTCCGATTTCGATCATTTTGAGACTTGAGATACCGACATAAAAACAAAGACATACAAGCTAAGAAAATAAAGAATAGTTTTGTTTCTTGCGAAGGGCTCAATCAGGCTTAAGGTTAGAATGGAATTGAGTTGATGTTTCCGAAACATTTCATATGGGTTCAGATTACGTACTCGACTCTATAATAATATTACTTTGAAGTCTAGAATACTTGAACTCTATTTTTTAAAAGATTTGTTATTATTTTCATAAGGTATTCTTTTATGTACATTTCCAAATAATATTATATTGGAAATAAATTACTATTCGTTGACAAATATAGCTGTGATATCTATGTTCCAAATAAAAATGCATTACTTTTAAAAAGCCAACATATGTATATCAAATAGGCAATATAAGAACTGAAAGCCATTTGGCGGTAATATGATTTACAAAAGGTTTCGATAAAGACTTCATGGAACATATTTAAACGTACTAAAATTCTGCCTTATTTACGAGTAATTGGTTCCAAAGTGTGGGAGATACAGTTTAATAAAGCCATCAATTAAAAATATAATGGATTTATTTTTACAAGGCCTATTATAACCATATTTAAACCGCAACGAAAAACTTTAGTATCAGATATTTTATCGGGATTTCTTTTATAAAACATCTAACTCGATATAAATTTATGTATGTATGTACGTATTTCAAATATACTTTGGAATATCGCTTTGAATTTAATTTAAACTTTTATCTATCAGCTTCTTTCAAATTAGATTTCTTGAAATTTCGTTTTGGCTTCCGTTTTAATTGAACTAATATTGAAATTTTTTTGTACTGCAACATATATTTTTTTCAAAATTATTTCACATTAATTACATCAACTTAACCTAGTTACTACATGCCTTTTCTCTTTGTCGTTCACAGTCGCGGTCTCACCCCACCACATCGAGTAAAATCCATTTCTATGGCTACATTCACACAAGACGATGTCGATTTTCTAAAAAGTCATGGAAACGATGAATGCGCTAAAACTTGGCTGGGTCTTTGGGATCCCAAGCGAGTCGTACATCAAGATCAGCGGGAATTGATGATTGACAAATATGAACGAAAACGTTATTACTTGGAGCCAGCTAGTCCACTTAAATCTTTGACGAATGCCGTTTCACTTAAAAGCAGTTCGGTGACGGCACCGGCGGCAGGGGCAGCAGTGGAAGTGGCGACAACATCTGGAGTAAGGGCGACTACAGCAACAGGTAGCTCCTCAGCAGCAACAACATCAAACGGCAGCAACACTTACAAGAGCAAAGGTGATGGACAAATAGATTTTGTGCATGTGACCAACGGATTTGGTCATAATGCGCACAATACTAAAAATCAATACAAAAATGGAGAGCGAAGCTTCCAACTGACGCCACCCAATTCACAGCGTACCACCATGAATGGTTTACATAAATCCGTCACTACGACAACAGTGTCCGCACCAAATAGCTCGGCCAGGTCAACGTCCGCCATAAGTCGGCCACAACAACATCAACAGAACGGCTATAGCCATTTGCAAGATGCGTTTATGCCGAAAAACAATAATATAAATAACAATGGCGGCAGCAATCATAATGGGCTCAATGTCTTGCATATGACATCCAGCCGAATATCGGACAGTAGCAGCTCGACAAGTGTGAACGGTTTCGGAGCGGACGCAGACTTTGTTGCCGATTTTGGTTCGGCGAATATTTTCGATGCTTCAACGACATTGGCTCGTAACAAAATAAGTTCGCATCCGATATCGAATGGAGGTGCCAATGCGATATCGAGTAACGGCTATGCTAGAATACAACCATTGAAAAAGCAGCAACAACAATATCATCTATTAAATGGCCATGGTCAGACGAATGACAATAGCTCTCACAGCGATACGATCGACAATGGCACATCCGAGAATTTTGCCGATTTCGAACATGCGCCCATTTTTAATGCGGCTGGTAAGTACACATGTATATATTGCTTTCCGGTATAATATACTCCACTATAGTTGATTTTTACATATGCTTCTGTTTGTATATACAAGTACTTGTATGTAAATTTCTAATGCAACGGTAACTCACATTTGAAATCTGGTTGCTACAGAGTATAATAGTTTTGTTCACCTAACGGATATTTGTAAAAATGAAAAAATACTGTTTTTGGTACGGAATATACTTTCCGGAAACTCTGCAAAATACCCGTCTACGGTTGTAATAGCTTCTTCATTCGACGAAAAATGCTTTCCGCGGAGGAATTGTTTCATTTTTCTGAAGAGGTAGAAGTTGTTTTTGATGAATACCAGATCTGGTTAATACGGTGAATACTCAAGCAAATCGTACCTCAATTCATTGAATTTTGTCATTGTTAAAACACCTTTGTGAGCAGGTGCATTGTCTTGATGAAAAATTATTTTTGTGCTGCAAACCAGTACTTCTCTCGCGAATTTTTTCATCCAGCTGATCCAAAAGGCTGCAATAATATTCAGTGTTGATTGTTTTACCTTTCTGCAGATAATCAATCAACAAAATCCTTTTGCATCCCAAAAAACTGATGCCATAAGCTTTTTTGCTGATCGTTGTGACTTTGGAGGTAGTAGTGCTATTTCTTGGCGAGGGCAGACACTTCACAACCAACCTGTATATAGGATAATGAGACGATTTGAAATCCGATTAGATGTCTGTCTATTCGTCCGTCCGTCTGTCAGAGCAAGCTGTAACTTGAACAAAAATTAAGATATCGGTACGAAATTTGCCGCACGTGTTCCTTAGTAAAAAGGCGAGGACAATATGCCAATAATCGAAAACGTATAAAGTGCCATAACTAAGCCAAAATTAAGATACGAAACTGTAATTTGATACAACGAATTGCACTAAGTTGTTCATCTGTGGTTTGAAAAATGTTTCAAGCTATATCGCCCATATTTCTCAACACCTCTTACGACAGTGTGAAAATAAATGAAATCGAAGGATAACCCCATGTAAAGGTTTTGTTGAAAACTACTAAAAGTGCGATAAATGTATAATAAAAGCGATATAAACAAAATTTTACACCCGAGATGATACGAGTGGGCTTTATAGGAACCGCTGTCAATGGGCGTGGCACCGTCCACATTTATCCCATATATTGGGAGGTGCTCGACCGATTTCAATTCATTATTCTGATATTTCTACTTTACAGTGCAAAAATGCGCGCAATCGGACTCAAACCACGCCTACTTCCAATGTAACACAATTTAAAATTCCATCTGATTATTTCACTTTCCAGTATAGAAATCAAGCATCAATAAATATAACGGTATAAAACTTTGCACGAAAAGTACCTATGTATGCAACACCTGATGACCAATAATGGTCAAAATCGGGCTACAACTATTCAAGCCCTTATGTGCCGATTATGTGGACCTCAGATCCTTTCGCGAAGTTTTCTTTGATAATATCGGCCTATCTGTGAGATACGTTATTGAAATTCGGAGCAAATCCTTTCCTGATGATAGTATGCCTGTAGTCCAAAAATAGGCTGAATCGAATCAATATTTACTTAAGTCGCTATATACCTAATAGAAAAATGTTCGAACTTTGAGCTGGATGTATACCGCAAATACCGGTCAATATGTGAGCTAACTTAACAAAGTTGAAAGAACGTATTTTTTAATAATAATGTTTCCTTATGCCTTTCCTAAAATAGATAAATTCGAGTGAAAACTTACCCTAGACCCCATATAACTAATATTACAATTTTCAAACATCCGGTTGACTTTAATCCTTTTATATTGGTGATGGCACCTGAGGTATCTTAATGAAACTCAGACAGCATGTTTTTCTGTTATTCATATGTAATAATGCTAAAAATAGAAAAATCGGCTCAATACTATCCCTATCTTTCATATACCTAACATAACATATTCAAATTTCCGGTTGGCTCCATACCGTATAAATTTGTCTATATGTAAGATATCTTATCAAAATTTACTGAACGTATAATACTGCCGAAAATTTATACTCTTGTAACTTGCAATGATAAAATCCGGCTTATCCTTGCAAGTTGCAAGAGTACGAAATGTTCGGTTACACCCGAACTTAACCCTTCCTTACTTGTTTGTGGTAGTTTTAACACGAATAGTTCAGCTCTTAACCAAATTAATAGGCCGATTTTATATTATTTCATTAGGGGCTAGTCAAAATACATTAAATACAGTTTGAATATAACTTTGAAATCATATACCATAGCTAAGTATTTAATAACGCTATAGGCGCAAACTAATAAATCTTAACCATCAACATCATTTTTTGTTGGAACCTAACCTATAATCATATTTTAGTTGTTTAATATCACTGTTTATATCTTAAGAAAATAAAATAAAACAAATGTGAAACAAATTTTCGATTTCATCCTTGTCAAAAAACAATTAGAACGAATCTGACTGAGTTTCAAACAGGTTAACAAGTGAAGAAGAATTGGAAATAAAGTAATGTTACTGCTTGTGGTTCCCCAAATTTTATGGTAATCATTTGAAATATTTCGGAAGAATTGCAAATAATGTGAAGTTAGCTTTCCTTTCCCTTGGTTTGATAAAAATTGCTTGTGCTCAATTATAAAATATCTCCCTTCCGCTTTTTTGCTCTTCATTCAATGCTTTATAAAAAGTGTTACAGTGATCGGATTTAGTTAAAATATGCGCCGTTTTGTTCGATGATCTGTTTACATCTAGACGGCAACTTCATAATACCTTCCTCGTAGAAGCCCCCCTCCTTATTTGCGAAGAATTCGGACAGCCACTTTTCACAAGCCTCTTTTGAGTTCAACTTCATACCACCAAGGGCATTCGCAATGGACAGGAACAGGTGGTAATCACTTGGCGCTCCGTCCGGGCTATATGGTGGATGCGATAAAACCTCCCATCCGAGCTCCCGTAGCTTCTGACGAGTCATCAACGAAGTGTGTGGTCTGGCGTTGTCCTGGTGGAACACTACACCCTTCCTGTTGGCCAATTCTGGACGCTTCTGGTCGATCGCCTGCTTCAAGCGGTCCAGTTGTTCGCAGTAGATGGTAGAATTAAGCGTTTGGCCATATGGGAGCAGCTCATAGTGGATGATTCCCTTCCAATCCCACCAAACACACAGCAAAACCTTCCTGGCCGTCAATCCCGGCTTGGCCACTGTTTGCGACGATTCACCGGCCTTCGACCACGACCGTTTTCGCTTGATATTGTCGTATGTAATCCATTTTTCGTCGACAGTCACCATCCGCTTCAAGAATGGGATGAGTATATTCCGTTTCAGCAGCATATCGCAGGCGTTGATTCGGTCCAGAAGGTTTTTTTGCGTCAAATTATGCGGCACCCAAACATCAAACTTTTTTTTGTATCCAGCCTTCTGCAGATGGTTCAAAATGGTTTGGTGACTAACTCCCATCTCCTGGGCGATGTCACGAGATGCCATATGCCGGTCTAGCTCGATGTATTCCATGATTTGATCGGTATTTGTCGTCACAGGTCTTCCGCCGGCTGGCTTATCCATGGTGTCGTTTTCACCGGCTCTGAATCGTCGAAACCATTCCTCCGCGGTTCGAAGTGATAGAGTACCATCCCCCAAAACACCATTAATCTCACGGAACGTTTCTCTAGCGGATTTGCCTTTAACGAAGGAAAACTTTAAAATAGCGCGAATTTCGGCGTTAGTGAACTCCATGTTTATAACTGTTGAACGCAATATCCAAACTAATCATGCATAGCGTTGTTTTGTAGGTTATGTCAAGACCTTTCAAATTATGTATAGTGTTGCCAGATACGAGCTCTGTAGCGCTTTGTACATAGCCGCGAAATTCAAAAGACAAAAAAGCGGAAGGGAGATATTTTACAACCTTATATTACTATGTATATGACATATGGTATTTAGTTGTTAATTTATATGTTATTCGCTATATTATATAGTGCTGGTTTGAAAGTAGGGACAACAAATATAATCGTAATGTATATAAATGTATATAAGTAATGAAAGTATGGAAATATGGTAAGGAATTTACGCTTTATAAAATTTTAAGGAGCTTGTCAGAATATTAAATAGAAAGGACTCAGGATACATGCAGTGATTCTAGCTTATTCTAAAATACTATTTTTTGGAGTTCATTAAAGTTGGTAAATTATGTGCTAGTTTAATTAATTCCGAAAAACGAATTTTAAATCTTAAAATATTCAAATGGGGCATCTTTTATATAAACACTATTATTCATTATATTTTAAGTCATTTACTTTTCTTCCCAAAAAACACAATCTTTGCACTTTGACCACCTGACAGGATTCACTATATTTTTCCTTCCTTTGATACATTTTATAATTGTTTTCCATACAGCCGATTATAGTTTTATTAGAAAAACTGTGATAAAACGTTGCACCGGTGGCCAGCAAAAAGACAGCAAAGACAGTAAACAAAATTCTGTGTCAAGTGCGAAAAGTTCGGAAGTTCCCACCGATATTGGATCCACACCACAGTCTGGATCAGCAGCTGAGTATGTGTTAGATAAAAATTTGTATGCCGATATCAGACAAGCCACAACACATTCTGACACAGCGGAGAATGACACCAATGGCTACCGTAAATCGAGCACAGCAGTTGAGAAAAATGGCGGTGATACTCCCATTGAACCAGCTAAAATCGTGAATAGTGTCGAGAAGCCACCAGTACAAGCGCTTGGTTCAACAATGCAAAATGCCGTCACTGAATTGGCATCCCAATTGAGAAACTCTCAATCCTATCCACCGGACCAATGCCCCGTACAACAAGCTGACTACTGTGGCTATTGTCCACCGGTCAATTGTGTGCCTCCAATACCTAATGTGTGTAATCAAGCTCTCAGTCAACAGCCTAATCCGGATCAGAGCAATTTCTGCGCTGGCAATGTGCCGCAAATAGATTGGTGTCAGTTTGCAAATAATACACCCTTTTGGCCACCAAATAACCTAAATATGATGGGCAGTAGAGCTACGGTATCAGATGTTGCGGGCGCTCCAAAATCTCTAAATGCCGAGCCACAACAGTGCTCGCCCATACTTTGCGCACAACCACAGTTTTATGGCCCGACAGGCTACGCCACGCCCTGCTCCCCAGGTATCTGTACGCCACCCATGAATGGGCAACCTTCCCAAGTGGACGCAACTATTGCTGGCCTCAGTTATGCCGCCTTACCGCAACAGACCATTATAAATACAGCGCAGAAACGACCACAAAATGGATGTGAAACCAATGCTGAAGCCTGTCTGGAACCAACACCATCGTACAGTACGTTATATAATCGATCTTACTGTCAGCCACATGTGTCTGCATATTCAAATCCATTTTTACAACAAACACAAATGCAACCGGCTCCAATGCCAGTTCCACCTGAATGTTTCAATCCGTTTCATCCAAATTGCATTTCAGGAAGTTGTACGAAGGGTTGTATGCCAAGTAATTCAATACCAGTGGGGGATCCAATAATAGATCCATCCTGCAATTTGCACTCACCTTATAGTAATTGCTTTTGTAGCAATTGGTGTAAGTTATGTTTTTCATTTGACGTTGATTTTATTGCGTTCGTTTGTTTGTTTTATTGTTTTTTTTTTTTATAAATTTATGCTGCCTTTTTTCGATACGTTTTCCTATTGTTTGTTGATGTTGCATATTAAATTTATTATTGCTTTTGTTGTATTCTTATAAGTATACATATCGCACAAGCTTCGATTTGACTAAATTTATTCGTTGGTACTTAAAATATGAAAATTTAGGTCGAAACTTACAAATACCATTATTTTTTTAAAGCAAAGCAACTGAGCTGGTTGGCAGTTTTACGTTTGTTGCGTGTTACAACTATACCCGGATATCTCCCTCATGGTTCAAAATATCCATAATATATATTGCGGCAATCTGTTATTTCGCTATTTGGTAATGTTAACGGCATTCATGAAACTATAGCTGAAAATTTCAGCGGAGCTGTTTTCCGATTTCATGTAAAAAGTTTTCTTCAGAGAATGTTTTTATCCATTTCAAAGTCTTACATAGAGAACGAATACAAATCGGAGTTAAATAGGAAGTAGACGGGATCGTTCTGCTATTTTGGTCTATTTTGCATGACAATACTTAAGTTTCTTATGATATATCGATTTTTGCGGAAGATTAGGCGAAGTAGGCAAATTTTTGCTCCGTATATAATATAAGGTCTATTAAAACGAAATCTCTTATTTTTTCAATAGATGTATTGTAAAATAATGGAAATCGTAGATTCCTTCGTCATATAAGCACAGTTTCGATTGTCCAGGAGCTAAACATTGCATAAAAACCCGTTTGTAGCCATTTGAAGAAGGCTGAAATCCCATCTGCAATTCGCTGTTGAATCGCAACAAAATCGGTTCATTTCTGAAAGGGATGATTACTTTTTATGAAAAGATGCTCACTACCAATACTATCAATAATTGCTGAAAGAAGCAATCGACCTTTAAGCGGCCAATAAGAGGGGCTTAATTGGGTGGGTATACGATACTTTATAGTAGAGGAATGGCACCGCGTGATTACTGCCTGTTCATATTTATAGCTAAGAATTTTGCTAATTCATCGAATTTTCGACTTTTTCGCCAATAGAAACGTAAGTTTTTATGAGAGTGGCATTATGACATTACCTTCAAAAAGACAAGTTATGGAACAAAAACTAAATCGAATCATTCTAACTATTCTTCAATTTAATACAGAAATCATTAATGGATTTCTTTTTACTAGACCTATCATTATTATTGGTTTTTATGTTTTATAATTACCTAGAGATTTAGCGTATCGTTTGTAGATTTAAATAGGAATAATATAATAATAATAAAGTGACGATATGCAGTACAATCGCAGAGAATGGCTATGGTAGTTGTTTTAATTCATATGCTAAATTTTATTTCGTTAGATACATTATTATAGCACTATATTACCATCGGCAATATTTTTGTAGTAAAACTTGGGCCAAAAAGTATTTTCAGTGCATATTTATTTTTTAGAAGTGTTCAAATTGGTTGATTATTCGTAGTATGTTATCATTTAACGAACTAATATTTTCCTTTATAGGCTACATACCACAGCTACCTGGTGGAAATTTATATTGGTCCGATTACTGCAATTACTGTTGAAAACGCCAAATGCCATATTAATCCCTGATTTGTATAAAAACTTTTATTTATAACTATACATATTGTATATAAGTATATTTGCCAATATTTAATCGCACGTCCATATTCTTTACACTAACATATTGTTGCTAAATTTCGAATATTTTATCTACATTGCTCAAAAATTTCTTAATTCATAGGTCTACCCATACCGAATAACAACTCTCGAACGATGAATAATCAGCATAATAATAGCCACAACAACAATAATACACTAAGCTCAACACCCAGCGAAGATAGATATGCGGCACTCAAAGATCTGGACGAGCAATTGCGGGAAAGCAAAGCAGCGGCCACAGTTGTGAATGCCTACAGTGTGGACGCATTTGGAGCCAGTAAGTAAACTTTGCAATTGTTAATAAAGTATTATAAAAAAAAGTAAACAATTTCAAAAAAACAATGGTTAAACTTTTACATTTTCTTATTATTTTACTCTAGCAATATGTTGTTACATAGTATAATAGTTTTGTTCATCTAACGGTTATTTGTATAACCTGAAACTAATCGATATAGATATGGAGTTATATATAGGTATATAAATGATCAAGATGACGAGACGAGTTGAATTCCGATTGACAGTCTGTCTATCCGTCCGTCTGTGCGTCTATGCGAGCGATAACTTGAGTAAAAATGGAGATATCTTGATGAAACTTGGCACACATATTCCATGCCACCAAGGAAGTTTAGTATTACAGATGGCGGAATCGGGCCATTGGCACGCCCATTAATCGAAAACATATTAAGTATTATAACTAAGATACAATATTTGATGAAATATTGATATTTAGTTCAAAGAATGGCATTATCAAGGGACATCTATGGCTAAAAAAATAATGAAAATGTGGGCGTCGCCCCGCCCTCTAATAAGTTGAATGTACATATCTCCTAAATTATTTAAGCTAAAATAACCCAATTCGCTCAGGGCAAATCTTTTTGGCATCCCTACTCACTCTGTATAAATGGGTGAATTCGGATTATAACCGCCCCGCCCACTCCCTATATAAAGGTTCTGTTAAAAATTACTAAAAGTGATCTAAATCTAAAAATAAATACGCCAGAGACGTATAAATTTTCACCCGAGGTGGTACGAAAGGCTTTTATAGCGGTCTTAAATTTGGATAATGAGCGTGGCACCGCCCAAATTTAGGCGAAACGACATATGTATCTCGGGACCTACTCGACCGATTGTAATCAAATGCGGTATGTAATATTGTCCTGACATTCCTACATTACAGTGCGAAAAAACCACTTTTCATATAACAGTTTTAAATTCCATCTGATTTTTTCACATTCAGTATACGCATTAAAAACAAATCAATGTGTCTGGATGTATAACCGAAAATTGTCCAAATCGGTCTATAACTTTTTTGAACCCAGACGTCAAATATGTGGCCCCAGTGCGTATGGCTGACTTTTTGCCGAAAATATCGGTTAATTTGTAAGATATGAAATTGAATTTCGAGGAAAATATTTTTTGATAATACATACACATATATCGGCCAATGCGCTAGTTATTTTAATGAAATCGAGAGAGCGTGTTTTACTAATAACAATGTATCTTTGTGCTTTAAATGCATAAAATTTGGCGAAAACTTGCCCCCATATAACTAATATTCACGATTTTGATCTAATCTTAATTTCATTTTTATTTTCAACGGTTAAAATGATCCAAGTTTTTCCAAAAACTGTTACAAATGATTCAATTGCGTTAGATAGAAAAGGTGCAGTATTTCCTAGAAGAGTGAGAAGTAAATGTTCTGCAAACTATTGACAACTTTACCCTTTTTCCAAAAAAGTGTTGAAGATAAAACTGGTAAAAAGTGATACGGATTGGGTTTAAGGTTGTTCAAATCATTCAAGTATAGTATTGGTATTTAAACCGAGTTCACAATAAATAATGATATTAAGTCATAGTAAGAAATTACCTATTTGTCACAAAGTTCTTATATCAAATGATTGGACTAACCCTCAAGAAAATAACCCGCAATTGTTTGCTTATTTTGTTTATTTTGTTTATTTTGTTGTAGTATTTAGAATCACGAACTCCTTACATAATACCCTATTTTATGCAATATAAAACATATTTTATTATATTTTTAATATGTATTCAATTTTTTTAGATGACTTTAGTAATGGCGTTAATCCCTTCAAGCATCAGCAGGCAAATCCGTTCCAGGCCGTCACTCACGGAACATCGCCAACAGCAACACAAAATTATTTTGGTCAAATGACAGTGATATCGAATGGCAATGGCATACCGTCACATGCACCAGCCGCAGCACATTTCTACAATTATAGTAACGGCTTTAGTAATGCAGCAACTTCAGCCGGCACAACGTCTGCTATGTTTCCGCTCACTGTAATGGGGGCTGGGCCAAGCGGTTGTGGGTTCGGTCTAGGAGCATTACAGCCAACGGCGATTGCGGCCACTGGCGCCGGCGGCGGCGCAGCATTCAACAACCCATTTGCAGTATGTCACGAATTTTACCACCAACAATTATGTATTAATTAAGTATCGTATTAATTGATTATTTGCTTTACTATTTACAGGCAAGCGGTGCAATGAGCACCAATAATCCCTTCTTATGAGATATTTGCGGTAATCGGTATGAGTCGGAGCCCAAGCGTAACTACAAAGCGCATCCTTATTAACTTTATATATAACTACTGACATGGAATTATGTGTATTGTCCTGCAAATACAAATACATGAATTCCAGGAAGAATATTAGTTTAATACTGAGGCGAAAGTTGATCATGTTCATTAAACCAAATTAATTGTTTCCAAATATATTTAAATTGAGACCGTGCGTAAGAAATTTATATATATGTATATATAATTGATGTATATATACATATATGTATATATGAAAAGAAATTAATAACGATACTTTTTATGACAACCAACCAAAAAGATCTAGAAATGATTTGCCTGAATTGCTCTCGATTTAACTTGCTCAGCAGGAGTTTAAGAAACTCTAACAATGGAATACATTTTAAATATAGAAACTATTAAAATATATATAAATACTGCGTAAAATATTCCATTTGAGGCGAAGTAAAATATTTAGTAGGCGCAAATCTCTTTTACATACATTTACATCTAATAATATGTATGAATAATCTGATAACTTAATATACATAAATTCGTCTATATAACTTCAAAATCAAAAAACACTTATACATACCTAAAAAAGAGAAAGTTTTAGTATTTGATTCCCTTTAATTTTATCGTACACGAGAAAAATCCTTTGCCGGCCAATGAAATGAACAAATTCATAGAAATATGTTACATACAACAAAAATGCTCTAGTAGCTGTATAGAACAAAATGAAACGGAAATGCTTTAAAATGAAACTAACTAAAAACTAAGCATATTTAGGTTTAACAACGACCTAATAAAATGTAAATTTCAACTATAAAAAGTAAAATGTAAATCAAAAATGTTAAATATTAAATAGAAACGTTGCAAAATTAAATGAAATATTTTGATTATTGTAAAAAAAATAATAATTAGATAGCCACAATATGTAGAAAATTTTGCAAAAATCTCATATGAAGAAAGGCGGTTTCATAAATGTAAAATAAAAAAGTTTAAACCCACAAACAATACATACGACTATATCGCTTAACGAAACAGTTAATTTAATAAATAAGCTTTGTCAGTTGTGGCATTGTATAGTTACCAAATGTTAATACATTTTTTTTTTGAAGGCTAACAATATTTATTTGCTGTTGCCTAGTGGAAAATTAGTTTTTAAATTTGTAAATGCTTCAAACGATTTTTAAACTACCATAAAATTTCTTAATTAATATTTATTTTCAAGAAAATTAGATACAAACTATTGTGTGTGAGTGTGTATGATTATTTACCAAATTAGCTAAGACTCGAAACTCCATTTTATCCTCCTTTTTTTGCATCTATGTATATTTTAAAATAAAAATACAATAAAAAAAATGTTATTATCTTTTGTAAAATAAATACATATGTATATGTATGTTGATGCGTATGTCTTTTTTAATTTTTTTATTTTTATTTTAGCTTGTTGAAGAAGTCAATATTATTACCATGCCTTTTCATTTGTTAGCACTAAATTTAAATTTTCCATTCTTAACGAAATATACACACACACATTATATTGAACATGTGGAAATTTCAATTGGTTTTGTTTTATTTGAATTTCAAGTAGTTAGTTATCTCGTTGAATGCTATAATAAATAAAACTGCGTAACTTCTGAAAAATATTCAAAACTTATACTTGAAAATCTAGCAGCATGTTCTTCATTTCGATTCGATAAAAGTTTCTACTTCTAACAATATTCGATCAGAAAAATGAAAACATTCTCGAACCTTTTTGGTATAGACAAAAAAACATTTTAGACTCTGCCAAAATAAAACTCTGTCATTTTTCTCTGAGTCCAACGCACTTTACTTCAAAAATAAGAATACCAACTGTGGTATAACAATGTGAATAGATAAATGCTAAGTAATTTCAAGCAACTATAGTTAAAATCTTTAGAAAACTCAACCACAAAAAATAAAACTTATGCTGAGAGTTTACCACTTCGACAGAGCTGAAAAGTTGAAGGTGATTGTAACTTTTTCTAATAAATTGTATTTGAGTATCGTTGCCACTCTCTTACAAAAAATTTTATCTATGTATAGTATTGTTCTAACATTAATTCCACCTTATTAATGTTTAATCAATATCCTTGAATGGATCTCAGCGATGTTTACTTTGTAAATATCTGTAAATATTTGAAAGTGTCAGTTATACATGAAATATCTGATAACTGTAACTTATCTATATGGAGGCTACTCTAAAAGAGTGCGTTGCTATGACTATCACTCAATGGGTCGTGGCTTCAATTGGCGGTCGTGACCATAAAATAAAAACTTATTTTTAATAACGATCGCTATACAAAATAATATTTTTATAAAAACATTCAAGAGTTCGCATGTCACTTAAAATTTGAAGTAACACTCTTTTGATCAACACCATCAGGCATACTCAATAGCAGTAGATGTTGCGCCAAATAATTCTTTACTTCAATTCCTTTCTATCAGTTCCTAAAGTATGATTTATTTTAGGCTTTTTTCCAAGATTGATGGAGAAGCATGTAACAAAAAAGAATGATGGAAATTATACCTAAAATAAAAACAATTCCGTACAAAAGTTTGCAGAATAGTTTCCAAACAGATATACATAGTTCTTCACAGAAAACTTAGGCAACATCAAACGTACTATTATAAAATACTTAATAGAAACCAAAATAAAACTAGTTCCACAAAATATATTTTGTAGTGATCAACATTTAGCTTTTCAAGGACGAACACACCAAACCTGACTATTATCCATTATTTGTTAATATGATAAATTATTACAATACTACAAAAAAATTCATGAAGCTATTTAAAATTAAAAAAAAACATTTTAACATTATTTTCCTGTTAAAGTTTATTTTTGAACTCAATAAAAATGCAACCTATTCTCTATTATTAAAAAGCTTAATTTTACGAGAAAATAAAATCATTTTTATTAAAAATATTAATATTTATATTCATATGTATAATAATTTATGGTGTATATAGTGATCGATAGAATTGACTCCAAATGTAACAAATAAAGGAAATTAATTTGATTTAAGAGTTTATCCAAAGTAACAAAAAGTGTTTTTAACATTTAATATTTATAAAAGTATAATTTTTTTTACTTATGCAAGGATCAATTGCTTTGTGGCCTTAATTAGTTAAGTAAACGAATAAAAAAATACTATTCGTATAAACTTTATACTATAAAGTTTACAACGACTATTTGTCTGAGATATTTTTGTATTCGAATTCGTTTAAAAACTCTGTTGCAATAACTAAAAAGCTAATGTATGAAATATTTCCTTTAAATTTATCATTGTGGTTTATGTGTTTAAATTCATATTGTGGACAATGCATACATTTATTCATTACAACACTACGCATTTATACATCTCTCACAATTGAGGCAGTGTATCGATTAATATCAGTTATCAAAAGTTTAAATCATAACGAAGTTATATGTATGCAAATAAATAAATAAATACAAATAATTACATAAATTATCTACGTAGTACGATTCCTCATTAATAAATTCAAATGGTAGATCTTTTTCTGGTAAACTACAGTTGGTATATGGTTTCCAAGAGGTGCTGATGAGATTCAAAACTATCTGTATCCGTATTATCTCATCGATAATCGTCTCACAACGATCGGCATATAAATTGACCACAATTTGATTCACTTAAGCCCGTCTAGATTAGTAAGTAATATTATAATACCCTATTACGTATCTATACTAGATCGAGTATAGTTACCAGTTCACAACGGTATTCAAAAATTTACATTACGAGTGGATATCGATTACCTACCGCAGACAATTAAGTGGGCAATCCACATTTGTCATAGTACGCAGAAATATAAAAATCAGGAAACAGATCTTGAGTGGTTTCCTAAACTATTTTGCGAACTTTTGTGCTTCCAAACTTGAATATCTTTGAAGAAAATATGTATACTTTATTTATGACATATTTACTAACTAAATATTTACCAAAATTGGTCTTCAAAATATCTTAGCTCTTAAAATAATTTATGCATTTTTTCAATTAATATTTACATTCATACTTTTTTATTGTGAAATATTTTTTAAGAACTTACGTTTTTTATTGATTCATAATTTCTTTAAATTATTATTTTTAATTGCAATAATTGTGCCTAAAGGCTGCATTTTTCTAAATTGATAGTAAACAGCTTTTCAAATTCTTTAAAATTGCCAAATTAGTCATTTCACGACGAACGTAGAAATTAATTCAGTCCTACTAAACATAACTGTTTTAAATTCGAATGAACGTCGTTATTTTCAGTATCTTTATGTTTATTTTTACGAGTTCTAAAAAAAAATTTTAAATATTGAACAATACTGCCCAATACTTTGAACAGTGCTTTCAAAAAATGCATACTTGTGGTTGTTATCTGCGTTTTCAAGAATACTGGCTTCAGTGGCCTTCCGCATCTTGTTATAGTATCGCAAGTATTCTGCAAACTTTGTAGTTCAACTGCCGCCAAAATATTTATGAACAGTGGTACCAAAGATATATTTTACAATCAAGATTGTTTGTATAAATACATGTATTATAAACTAAAATGTTCTGTTATATGTGTACCGTGATTCAACCGCGACATAGAAATCTATCATAAATATGAAATTTAATGGTATAAGTCCATTTTTACCACTTATGAGCCAATAGTTGAATAAAATAAAAAGCCAAATATTTATTTTTCAATTATTTCCATTTGTATTTGCTTTTTTTGTATTCGTATTTCCATTTCCATTTCGGTTTAATTTCTAGTTTGTTCACTCATTTCATTTATTTTCTCTTTTAATATCTTAGTAGCATTTTTGCGCCTCACCTCATTTATTTCTTGCACACGATATCTTCCGCACATGTGTGTGTGTTTTTTTTTTTTTATAGTTTTCATGTTTTCCGTTCATTATTCAAAGTAAAAAATTGCGCATATTAAATAAGTAGAAAAAAGGTACAACTACACATGGTACTAATTCGGTTTACTGTGTCATTTAATAATATTTATTATATTAATTGTGTATTCATTAATTTATATTTATTTTGTTTTACATTCACTTACAAATTTTCTTTAACAAATAAAAAAAAATTTACAATACTTACATAAAAATATAAAAATGTTGGTTACATATATAGAGAAAGCAATAGATATGCAAGAATAAGTAACTTACCCAAGTGCAGCACATAGTGAATGATGAAATTTTTCTAAACGACTATTTTATACTGCTTGCGGCACTATTATTAAGTCAGTTGAGCTCTTGGTCACAATATGCACATCTACGTGAATGGTTCGAAAAAAAATGGTCATATAACCAAGAGCGCCGAACTATTATGACTTTCCTAATATTTTGATGAAAAAAGACATTCTTAAGAAATGGAAGCATAGCGCTTGGCTATAAACGCAAATTCGGCAATGAAGAGATTTCGTTTGGGAATATTCTTTATACTTATGAGGCAGAGGAGTACAATTATAGAGCTTTATATTTAAATTAAAACATTAAAAAGAACATAAATAACTTTATTTGTATGCATTATATTGGCATACAATCAATAATGACTATTTACTTCGTTCTGAACACAGTGAAAAGTTAAAACAAATTAAAAAAGCTACTTACGAAATTAATATTATTTCTTCTAAATATTCGTCATTTATTATTGAAACTCATATCTCTTCCATATTTAAAGTTCCAACACTCTGCAGTAATCGTCTGCATTCTTTTATCTGTCTTATAATAATTACTTTTTTAAATATTTTAAATTTAAAAAGTTAAGAATTAAACTATTTATATTCGCAAGTGGGACTTTTAGAGCATTATTTTTGTCGTATTACTTATATAATATTTATTTTTATATTTATAATATAATAATTTAGTACATTTAATAATAAAAGGAAGCAGCTGGGCTGGTTCGAAAGTGTTTACCGGATTTTGGCGCTCCGTTGCTCAGTTGCTCAGTTGTTTTAGTGCTAAATAGTTGACTACAGAGCTGAGCAGCTACGTACATACATACATAGGTGCATGAGACCACGAATGACATTTACACATACTAGTACAGCACATATATATATGTTTATATAATCATTACTTTTATTTTCCTACGTTAGTCTGTTCTATTTAAAATATGTTTACTTCATTTTTTCAGTGTTTTATTTTTTATATAATATATGTTTTTGAATAATTTATAATAGTAATGAAATTTCATACATATATTATTTGCATATTATAGTGTACATGTTACAATATTTTATGGTTTATGTATATATAAAGTATTGTTTATTTTTCAATTTACTTTATATAGCTTACTACATACTAGTATGTCTGTGCAAGCTGTACGAAAATAAAGGGAGCTATTTGTAAGTACGCAAAACTCGGTTTTTTTGTGGACTAAATAGCTGATAATTTTTGAAATTGTGTTTTGTAAAAGAATTTTTCGTTTGTTTTTTCTTTTACTTAAGTGGCGCAACTGATAAGTTAGAAAAATTCGAACCAGCATAATCACAAACCCTTTAAAATCTTTTTTCGTTTCTTAGCACATTTTTGCAAAGTCTCTGGCCTCATACGTTTATTATTTTGTTAATTTCTCATATGGTATGATTTTTTGTCTTTTGTAATTATGATATATGGTAATTATATTTGTGGATATACATGACTTCATATCAGACCTTTCCTTAAAAGCTTTTACTGTATAATATACTTATTTTATTTTACATTAGCATTCAAAGCATTCATTTTTTTGTAGTGAAAATCATATTAAACGTTATTTTAGATTCCATTTCACTAAATTATATTCACATTTTGTTAAGTTAGACTTCACTAAACCATCAGAGAGTGCAGAAAGAAAACTATTGAATTTTTCACCTACTAAATGGCTTGAGCATTTTAATATTACACAAGGAAAAGTATGCGATTTTGTTCCATAATTTGGATCGGTATATATATCGGTATTTTATCAATCAAAAAAGTACGCAATCCATCGCTACAAATGAATTCTATCGTAGATGTAACCCTGATTGTTCGAAGAAAATTTAACAAATATTTGCTGCAATGTTTCTCATTTCAGTGACAAAACAAGCTTCAAATAGTTGCATAGCCCTTTTCTTGGAATGCAGGCATGTAAGAACAAATTACGATCCAATACTAAATTTTCGAGTAGTCATCATATATATGTACATAAAATAACTAAAACAATAAGGACATTTGCGTTCTCCAAGTTACAAAACAAGTTATCTCATATGAAAATTAACAAAGCAATAAGTATGAGTATTTTAAAAATTTAAAAAATCGACAAGCACTTTGTGTAATAAAATTCTTTTGTAGAATATAGGAAAATGCTACTTTATTTTCGAAAATATTACTCCAAATAGTATGTTTAATAATTACAAATATTTACAACAAATTTCGCGCTTAAAAAATGCTCTCAAACTCGCGCCCATAAACAGTGAAGCATTAATTTAAGTCAATTAAGCTCAAAAATTGTGTTTTCATATCTACCTAAAATAGTTTTAGCAACAACCAAAATATTTTTTCACTTGTACATTGTAAAAAAACTTATCTGATGTTTAAAATCAATCGCTTCTTCTAAATCTAATATAAATATCTATAAATATGTTTGCAATAAACAATGAGATTTCAGTGCGCACACGTTCACATTTTGCAGCGCGTAATGTAGCGCTGGAACAAATATTGTCGAAAATGCTGGCTACTTGAAAATTGTTAGCAACTTAACTCGAATTAACCCGCTTTTTTCCGTGCTTGCTTTCTTCAAAACTGTCTTCATTAGAGTTGAAGAAGAACAAATAATCGAAGATAATAACTATGGTAATAATTATCAACTAAAATATATAATACCATAATATGCAAGTGCCAGTTATTACGCTCATTTATATATATATATATATATATATATATATATATTTGTATCCATTAATTGATTCATAAATTTATGCAATATATATGTATATATTGTATAATATATAAATTTAATTTTTCGTATTTTGGTAGTCGCTTCTACGTTATTTAATTTGCTCTTTAAAGCTTAAAATAGCAAAGGTTTCGCATTAAATTGTGATAATTTGACGATACTCATCTCTTTCTAATTGTTATCATGTTTGTTGTTGCTTTATTTTTATTTTTTATTGTTTTTAAATTTGCTTACTTTGTTTTAGCGCTTGCTGTGGCTTTTCATTTACACATTAATCGTTATAAGTAATGTTGTATATTTCATTACATTTATGTATATCGGTAAAATTATATAATTATATTAAATTTGTTGCGGTGATACCGCGAGACGGTAGTAGCAGCAGTAGTAGCAACATCAGCAAACTTCCTAAAATGCCCAGTATCGATGAATATTTATATATTTATGAGTTGTGTGTTACTATTTAGTTGCGTATATTTTTTTCTGATGAATGTAATGTATTGGCATAACGAGGATTATGCCAAACTGCTGCCGCAAATGTAGTTTGCTTACGTGCCGTTTGCCTTTGGTAACGGTCGTACCAAATATAATTTTTCGCCTTGCTTATTCGTATAAATCGGTGCTCTTTGGTAATGATCTACTAATTGATCTAGTGTGTGAAATTTACGTTGGCCAATGCAGTACATGCTATTCTCAACGTGTACACGGAAGTGCTTATTGCGGCCTGGCGCCTTAAGAGAAACCGAATAATCACCCATCTGAAATTGGGAAAGAAATATTATATTTTATCAAACAGCTGTATTAATGAAAATAGTAGTAGTGTAATAACTAACATAAAAAAAATTAATAAATATGTATTTTTTACTAACAAAATTTATTTAAAAATCTGTTCACGAAATTAGTAGTACTATTTTGTTGAAAGAAAAACAGAAAAAATCCAGTTATCCATACAATTTTCAAATACTACATACTTTCAGTTTACTAATATTTGGTTTAAAACCTTTATTATTTAATACATCCATACACCGACGTTGTATAGAGTCTATTGAATCCTTAAAACACTAACCAAAGTTGTGTTCTACTTGATGGATTTGCTGTTGCACACATCTCCCCAAAAATGTTTAATTGAATTCAGGTCCAGTGCTTACGCCGGCCAGGACAATACAACGAAATAGGACCGACACCATGGTACGAAAAGGTAGGCCATACTATAATACTCAGACCACAATATTTAAAAGTTTTGGTAGTGTACCTGGTATGATATTATGTGTTTGGTAGTGGACGGACATACTTTCTGGACCTTGTTCCTTCAAAAAAATGTTGCTTTTACCAGTCCACAGCACATTCCGCCATTTTTTAGATGGCAAATTGAAATGTTTTTTTGAGAACTTTATTCTTAGTCAAATGTCAAATAAGTTACTTTCCGGGGACTCCTTTTCTTTAAATCGTTTTAAAATATTTTTCTACGATCTATAAGAGTAGTAACCGATAAGCTTAAATTATTTTTTATCCATTTTGGATGATGCGTAGGGCTTGATTTTCACATAACGTATAATCTGTCTGTCCTGTAATATTAATTTTTTTGAAATTTTCCCCCACGATTTTCCCCTTTATCATTGTATTTTATAGCATTGCATATCATTCTGGAGCTGTATTCCACTATAATTTCGATTCCCTGTAAGTTCTGTTTCATTTCCTTAGCTTCATTATAAATTCATGCTTCTCGATAGAACAGCTTTATAATTTGAAGCGGTTGAATTGGCAAGTTAATTTTTTTTTCTCTGTTTTTTCTCTTTTACCCATGTGCTGCCCGTTAGCAACTTGAGACTTTTTTGAGACTCTCTTCATTGGCAGAAAATTGCGGACAAAGAAGAAGTAAATAACTATCTTCACGAATTTATTGTTTCTTCTCTGCAAGGAGCCTAACACTCTCCTCTACTAAATAACTAATGACATTCCTTAATTAATTTTCATTGCACTTAAATTGAAGAAGTCTAATATATGGGTGTTGTTGCTAGTACAAAATTCACTGAGTGACTGCCGTGGCTTTGCATTGTTTTGCAGCTTCATTTATAGTGGTTTCGGAAGCGTTAGACTTTACTACCGTATTGTGCACGGGCCAGAATACGTCCATAACGAACACCAACAAGGATATAAACTGACCCAAGTTATATTGCTACGTACTCTTATCTTGCATACAGAACAGCAAAGGAACGTGACTGATACCGATTGGAGATTGTATTAAGTCAGTCCTTTACCTGATGAAAATTTAATTCGGTTACGTCGAACCGACTGCCGTATGAACGATAGTAATTAAGCGTTATGTTGAGTTTTTGAGTTCAAGAATATCTAAGATCTTTCTTTTTGGTTACTAGAAATGATAAGTGATATTTAAATTGGCCGAAAATAATCATTACATAACTGTATTACCTGTTCTGCTTAAATGTTGTTATAGTCTTTCGACATAAGACAATACGTAATCAACAAAATAGTTTAGCATTTTAAATAAACAATATAATAACAAAATGTAATTAAAAACACTAAAAATAGTTCTAGTTCCAGGACTATACTACCACTACTATTATGCTTACATTAGTCTCACTATCTCGTATAAGGAAATCACCATCATGTCCATGTTGATTCAATACTGTGTCACATTGGCTACGGGTGATAGCGCCATAATACCAAGATTTTCCAGCCAAATTTGGCCTTTCCATAGGTGCCATAGGTGGTGACGATTGTGCTGACATGCCGTCATTGCGACGATCGATTGAGTCACCGCCACTGCTACCGCCTCCGCCGCCATTGCCGTTGCCACCGCTATTATTGCGGAACGGTGTAGCTAGATAATCGTTTAACTCTTGGAGATAGTTGCGTGGAACTAAACCGACTTGACCTTGATTATTTCTTGCCTTATACCAATCTGGATCAGATGCTGGACGATCGACAATTTCGAGTCTGTCACCTTTCTCAAATGACAGTTCTTGGTCATTGTTCGATGAGAAACTATAAAGCGCGACCTAAAGTGAATATAATTTAAATTAATGGTATGTATATGTCATTGAAATTTCATTTTATTAAATTTGGTAAAAAATTTCACAAATAAAAAAAAAATTTACCACAATGTCCAGCACATTCTCCGCCATGGCATATGTGTGTATTTCACCGTCATTATCACAATCCTCAGTTGTGTAATTACTTGGAAACCATCCGACGGCATTTCCACTCTGGCCACGCCACCAGCCATCGTTTGACTTTTCGAGTATGAGGATACGTGTTCCTTTGCTCAGTGACAGTTCGTCTGGCTGTTGGGCTTGATAATTATATTTAACGATTGCAGTGCCAATAGCTTCGGCTGGATCTGGTGGTAAACGCCGCGACATTGTTGGACTTTCAATTTGTCTTGAGGGGGAACAATTTGGTAATGTTTTCGAACCAGAGCCTTTTTTCACCTTTTTCTTAATGCTGCAAGAAAGCAAAGTACAAATTAACAATCAAAATTAGACCGAGTTATTTGTTTTTTATTAACAAATCTAAGGATGAACGCGGTAATTGTTTGCTAACGATTCAAATTTAAGAAGGTTGGGCTACATGTCATAGGATAGGTATGTGGACTTTTGATTAAACTATATGTACCATATATATGGGTGGATTTCCATTAATATAACGATGGAGGATATCTATGTATATTATGTAATGCTACATTTATGCCCAACTTCAACTTTAATAATAAGATTCTCAATATTTTATCTTGTGTTGATACTCTCCTAATATGTTCTCCAGAAGAACAATTAACAAATAACACCATAAATTGGAACACATCATTTGCCAAACATTTATCAAGTTTTAAATTCACTTTTGTAAATCCTGTATACGAAGTGAAGGACAATTATTCTAGCATCGGTTGTCGTTTTACAAGTAATATCAAAACATTGAGCTCGGATTGATATACATATATATCTTTATAAGTCGTTTAAAAAAACCTACATTTGTAAAAACAAAACGATTCGGTCTGATAAAATAAACATAAATTGGTTTAAAAAAAATTGTTGGGAAATATTTGAAAAATATTGAGTTAGATTCCGCAGACGAAAGTGTATCACCTATTAAATCATATTCCTCAACTAATTCAATATACAGTTTTAGAAAAGTTAAAGGCGAATCTTTTAGTGGACAGGATAACATACTAGAAGAATACATTTTTTTTAAGATTCCTGTTAGCTACTCGTCAGCCAATCTATGAATAACCGAATCATTCAATACAAAATATCTTCAATTTGATTTTGGTTTTAGTGTTTTTTGTGTAGTGATTGCAAACAATAGGCGAGCAAACTACGAATACGAAAACCATAAAGTATATAAAGCAGCATGAATACCAAACAAAATTATAGACAAAACTAACACATTACAGAAATTAAGACTCATAATTAGTGTAGCATTCATAAAAAAGCAAGAAAAGTTATTAAAGAGTAAAAAGTGTAAGTTCAGTTGCAGTAAATTGTATTTTTCCTTCTAAGTACTTAAGTAGGCGCCAACTCACCTATCGAATAATGACGGTTTCTCCTTCTTCACATAATTGCTAGGCACATAACCTGACAGATTGCGATTATTTTGCACACGCCACCAATGTTTCGAATCGTCTAGCAGTAAATAGCGTTCATTTTTTCGCAAATCTAATTCTTGCGCACCTTGCGCCGCATAATCGTATTTGGCTACAACGTAGCAAACGTCTTCTTGTGATTTGCCTGTAAAATACCAAAGAGAAATATCAAAAGTAATTTGCATTCAATAAACAATTACAACCGACTTAAAGTAGCAACACACAAACATACATACGCGCTTAATGCTCGGCTTTGCCCGACGGTTAGACTTCACACAAAAAGCGGTAAAAAATGTTTCTGTTTTACTCAAATTTATTTTAGCAGATTTTTTTTTTTGGAACAACGTTTAATGTTATTATATTATATATTATTGTTTATGCTTATGCAATTATGTATGTATGCGGTCTACTTTTTGTTTAGTACCAACCGTGTTTCATGTTGCCCGCCATTGATTGTTGACCGCAACTGGAGTTACCGCTGCTGCTGCCGCCGCTGTAATCGCCTGGGTATCCGGCGATATTTGACGCTGCCGTCACTTGACCGAAGGTCACGCTCTTGTGCTGTGCACTACAACTGGATGCGGTCGACAGGGTGCGTTGGTGTTGCTGCTGCTGCTGTTGCGACTGTGAGCGTGGTTGATATGAGGCGGCCACGGCAATCGCTGTTGCGTGTTGTTGTTGTGGTGTATGCCGATGTTGATGTGCTGGCGAACCCGGTGTTGCTGGATATGGCTGAAGTGGATATTGTTGGTGGTAGTGGGCACCGACTAAGCCACCACCACTACTACTGCCTATCAATACGTGTGGTTGTTTATGTGATTGCTGGTGATTATGATTGTGATGGTGTAATTGATGTTGATGTTGTTGTTGATTTATCGGTACGTTACTCGCCGTTGAGGAATCGGGGATATTGCGAGCAAATCGTTGGGGATATTCCAACATTCCAGTGCTCCTCTAAGCGCGGAGGAGGCGTCGTCCTACGGGTTCTCACTAGATTTATGGATGATGCTAATCACAACGGCGGCAATTTGGCTCCTGAGTATAAGTGAAAATAGTTTCAATGTTGCCCTCGGTTAGTCTGACGCGTTGCCAATTGAGTTCATTCATTGCTATAACAACGATAACAACAACGAATAGACGACAGTTGGCGATGTGTATGATGTGTTTGAACCAAAATTGATGTGCATACGAGTTCAGTTGGTTGATGTAATCAATCAAGAAATGCAGAAAGAAAACAAATAAAGAAAGAGAAAATGCCAACAAATTAAAATTAAGCCATTCACTAGCAGTAAATAAGCAAATAGAATAACAATTATATACAATAATAGCAAATGCAAAAAATAATATTTCGTAACAAATCCAAAATATGATGGTGTGCTGTAAAATTACGTAGTATGTATGTATCGTACACTTATGCATTGTATTTAAATAAATAGCAAATAAATTATATTTTTGTATGGTATATGTGCGAACCTACATAATTATTCCCAAAATGAGTTGCGGTCGTAATAAATCCTCACAGAGTATTCTGCTATCAGAGTGATTATCTCATATCACTTCAATGGATGTAATAGTTGGGTGTGAAAAAGTTGTTTTACAGTATGTTTCAATTTAATTTTATTATTAAACAAAAAACCACTTACTGGGACTATATAAGTTCAAATATTCATTGCATATATGTATGTATAAGAGAAATGATTAAGTAGTTACAAAATTATATTCTATAACCACTACATATATTTTTAGAAGTTACATAGATAAAAATTGTGTAGATATGATAATAACAGTTCTATTTAAAAAATATTTTATTCATAAAGCCTATTATTTATTTTATATTAGTTTTTATATAATACGACGCTCACCCTATGTCCGTAACTGTTTAGTTTTAATTGAAACTATTTCTTTAGAACTTGTACTCGCTTTCATACATACAATATGATATACTATAGACATCAATAACATATTAGTGCAGTCTGCCCATCTATTAAGACCTAATTCGTTTGAATTTATAACTGTGTAATCAATCAAAAGTTAAATCTTAATTTGTTTAGTGGACAAATGTACTGCTTCAAAAAAGGTCCACAAAAATTATGAAAATTGAAATGCAAAACCAGAGAACAAACATATAGAATAGAAAGATACAAAACTGTTATATGGTCCAACGAGTTGCAAGAGAGGTTTGAAAATTTTTTAAAATTGGGCGTGGTCCAAACGGTAAAATCGAATGATAACACCACCCACTCTCCATACAACAGTTATGTTCAAAAATTACAAAAAAAGCTATAACTCATTATTTAAATACGTCAAAAGCAATAAATTTCACAGTCAAGATGCCATGCAAAGGCATTGGACACCTTTAGATGAAATCACGTACCTCAAGAACGTCTCAACCGATTTCAACCGAATTAAGTACATAAGTTATCCTTTCATCTCCATTTTATCATATTGTGAAAATGCTCGAAACCATTGTGAAAATGCTCGATCACAACCACACCTACTTTCCACATAACGCAATTTTCAAATCTATCTGATTCTTTCATTTTACAGTATACAAATCAAGCACCAATAAATATATCGTGATACAGCTTTGCACAAATGGTGTATTTATGGTATGCCATCACAAGTCTAAAAATTGTCAAAGTTGGATAATAACTTTTCAAGTCCCCAGATGCCAAATATGTCGACCCTAGTGACTATGGCCGACTTTTTACTGAAAATATCGGTCGATCTATGATAAACATATACTTCTATTACTAAAATTCGGAGAGAAGCTTTTCCTGATATTAATCAACTCTTGTGTCAAAAATGGATTAAATTGGGTTAATAATTGCCCTATCAAACTTCCGGTTGACTTTATACCATAAGTATCGGTCAATCTATGAGGTTTTTTAATAGAACTATAAGCTCCATATATCAAATATAATATTTCAATCAGCCGGTTGGCTTTATAGCATGTACAGTTACGGATAATAAAATAGAATAACAATTTTCTTTTTTCTATTTCAAAAAAAAAAGTGTTACCACAGTTCTTAAGAGGAAACACTTATTTTTTATAGTTAATAAAATTTATTTTAAACATTTCAAAAGGAACAAGTAAAGAAAGGCTAAGTTCGGATGTAACCGAACATTTTATACTCTCGCAAAGTTAAATAGTATACTCGTTTGAGATTTCTTTGTGGATTGGCTGATATTTTCGGTAGGTCAACTATAGGCACTGGGGTCCACATATTTAGTACTTAGGGGCTTGAACAGTTTTATTTCGATTTAGACAATTTTTGGTCACAAGGTGGCATACTTTAAACGTATTATTCACGCAAAGTTTTACCCCGATATAATCATTCTTGCTTGATATGCATAGTGGAAAGTGAATGAATCAGATGGAATTGAAAATGTGTTATATGGGAAATAGGCGTGGTTGTAATCTGATTTCGCCCATTTTCGCACTATAACATAGGAAAATGAAAAGAACGTTATGTACCGAATTTTACTCAAATTGGTTAAGCAGATCTCAAGATATGGGTTTTCACCTAAAAGTGGGCTGTGCCAAGCCCACTGTCTAATTTTGAACGCGGTTCCTATAAAGTCAGAGATAAAATTTAATGTCTCTGGCGTGTTTAGTGCTTGATTTATCGCGCTTTAGTAGTAGTTAACAGTACCGTTATATGGGAAGTGGGCGGAGTTGCCACCCGATTTCACCCATTTTCACACTGTAGGTAGAGGTTCTAAAAAAATTTGCTTCCAGTGAATTTTGTTATTATAGCATTAGCGGTTTAGGAGATATGCATATTAAACCTATTAGGGGCGGGACCACGCAAGCTTTAAAAAAAAAAATTTAACTGCAGATGCCCTTCCCTATGGTGATCCTGTATACCAAATAAGAGTCTTGTATCTTGTTGTGGAGCTTAGTTATGGCAATTTATTTGTTTTTAAATAATGGCGTTTTGTGGGCGTGGCAGTGGTCCGATTACGCCCATCTGCAATACCAACCGTCTCACGGTACCAAGAAACATGTGTACCAAGTTTCATAAAGATATCTCAATTTTCACTCAAGTTACAGTTTGCACGGACAGACGGACGGACACACAGTCACCCGGATTTCAACTCGTCTCTTCATCCTGATCATTTATATATACAATATCTAACTCGATTAGTTTTAGGTGATACAAACAACCGTTAGGTGAACAAAACTATTATACTCTGTAGCAACAGGTTGCAAGAGTATAAAAATAACTTAATTGAAATTTAAGGATTATCAGCAGACAACTTTTAAAGGAACTGTCAGGAATTTCAATTCACAATAAAATAGAATCATGAAACCAAAACTCCTAAATAGTTGACTATTATAATTAAAAAATGCATATATGTAAGAATTTGGTTACAAAACCTTTATTTTCGAGAGCACAGCTTTTCAGCATAGATTACACTAGAGCTTTACAAACTGAATTCGGTATTGAATACCACGCCTCTTGGACTTTCCCATGTTCCTCCTTATGTCGCGGTGCTTATACGCAGACTTTTTTTAATGGATTTCCTATTCGTCCGCATGTTTTGTTTTGTTTATATGTTACTGTCGAACATTCAATCACTTTTATTTTCATAAAACTAAATGTTTCATATCCACTAATAAATATCAAATAAATCGGCTTTTGTAAAAAAATATATAAAATTATTTTTTTCAACGAGTTCATTCTGCTTATGCTTTAAAATCCTGGCGACTATTTCCTGTTCTCAAAACCTAAAAAAAGCTTGCTGAAAGTAAATTTAGCCACGATGACGAGGTACAAGACTGAGAAATCTACAGACTTTGACGTTTAAAAAAAAGTATAGAAAAGAAGGAACTATAATCGAAAATCATTACATTTTAATTTCAGCATTTTAAATCATGATGCAGTTGCCCTCCTATACATATGTATAAGTCATAAAGAGTTGTGTGCTATTAACGTATCAGTTTATCAGTAATCGAAAGTAACCGGAAAAATCTTAAGAAATCGCTAATGATAAAAGTTGAGCTGAATCATACACAATGTTCATTTATTAGAAAAGCGAGTATTTTGGCGAAAAATTAAAACTTTCATTATTAGTTCATAATTTTATCTTCTTAGACAATGTTAAAATTCTGTTTGATATTTAGATATTTTTATACAAAATACATAAGTATAACTTTCGCTTTATCAAAACATTTTTTAAACCCTTATCATATATAATATTTCGTGCGAAAATAGTAATAGAAGAAGTTGAAGTTTCAGTTTTTACCCCAAAGAAAAAGAATCCAACGAAAATAAGCAGTTTATTTTCAATTTAAAAGGTGCCTAAATCATCTTACTTTTCCCAAACATTTAATATGGGACTTTTTGATCTTTTGCACATTTTCAGTACATTTGACCAGAAAGTTTCCGTAAATTGTTAATATAACCAAAAATGTTTAATGCATCAATATTTATTTTGTCGCCTTCAAAATATGCTCCTTCTAAAGCGATACACAGATGCCACCTCTTTCTCTAACCATCGAAATCTGCATCAATATTTATTTTGTCGCCTTCAAAATATGCTCCTTCTAAAGCGATACACAGATGCCACCTCTTTCTCTAACCATCGAAATATGCCTTGTAGGCCTTCAGTTCCCTCTGCGAATTTCCTTTTACGGCCTCATCGAGTCGAAACGGGTTCCAATGTTCCAATGGTCGGCTCTGAACGCACTGCCTCATAAGGGCGTGCGTCAACCCTCGCCTTGGCCTCGTAACTGAGACAACCTTGGGACCATAAAAGGCGACTACCTTTCCGGAAGGCGGATAGCAGCTCTGAGTTGGGACCCAACAAAAATGAATATTAACAAAAATACTTAGAACGAGGGGGGAAGCAGGTCCAAACTGACCTCTGCTATAGTGGACGGTTCCCTGGGGGGGACTCTTTCACCGAGGGGGACAAAATCGTCCCCGGTAAAGGGTGAGGATAAAAATCCATGGGGTGCTTGGCTTATCTTCGCTAGGGGCGGTAAGGCAAGGGTGGTCGGCATGAGTCTGCCGCGTGACTGCAGCTAAAAAGCTGAAGTCTGATCGTCGGTTGGCTGCCAAGATTTTTTTTGATCAGCATGCTAGCACTCTTGAGTAGG